CAACTTGCAACAGAGCTGTGGTTGTGCCCATGGTGTGATGCTGGCTTTTGCTGACTGTGTGGTAAAGATCGCTGAAGAGTACGGTGAGTGACAGATCTATTAATTCAACCTTGACTGTTCTTTATAGCTCTGTTATAAAATCTGGTGGAATGTTACCAAACATTAATTGTATTTTACCTCTCCCTCCACTTGTTTATCCACTTACAGAAGCCAAATACACAGTGTCACTTCAGATGAGAGGCTATGACTTTTCCCTGAGCGTGGTTCCTGTTGACAGCGAATGCTTAGAAGAACCCCTGCCCTTACTGCTAAAGCTGGCTCAGGATGAACTGAGAGGAGCTTCTCAGAGTGCCAAAGCCACCATCTCAAAGGCCACCACGCTTCAAGAGCTGCTGGGCTGGCTTCTCCGCAGCAGTGAGCAAATAGTTAAACAAGTGAAAGAGGCAGCGCCATCTTATCAGGAGCAAGGACGACTGAGTGGGAACCTGGAGGAGAACATGAGGGAAGTGAGGAGGGCAAAAGAGTTGTCCCTGGAATACAAACAAAAGGCTGGAGAAGTCCTTACTGAGGCAGCACACATTGCAGGTGCTAATGTTTAACATTTACTGAGGTTTTTCTTTGGCTTTCGCTCAGTCAGTAACATTTGCCTTTCAACCAGTGACCTTTAAAGGAAGAAGCTGAATGAGGATAAAGTAATATGGTAGTTGAAACAGTGCCACTTTTGTAAGTAATAATTTCTCAGACATTTTCTTGTATACATAATTTACTGGTTTAATCATTTTTATTGTTCAATATTAAATATTTTCCAACTCCTTGTAATTTAGATTTATAACACTAGGGGGCATTTCAGACCCAGAAATGTCAAAATATAATCCTCAATCCTCTGTTGCTTCAAAGACAGAAAGGATAAATTGTCCTGCAATTTGTAATTGTAATTTTAATTGCTATCAAAAAAATCTGGTTTCCAATAAGCTTTGATTTATAAGACCAACATGCTCTGAAAGCAGTATTAATATTCTTTCTAAACCTAGTTGCTTTCATTTCTTCCTTAACCTTAATCTTATGAAAAATAAATATATAATCTACCTTATTTTGGTAGACATGCAGTACTTGTTTGATTAATTAATATACGTTACGTTAATTATTTGAAATGAAAAGCCCCCGCAAAAAATCCATCTTTATTTTCTGATAACTAAACAAAATTATTACAGAAGTTAAAATGTTTCGCTTACATTCAGAAATGCATTTCTTTTTAATTATGTGTTCTTTTTATTGTACCATATCTTTTTTTTAGTTATTCGATTTGCACATCTCACACTATGTACTTTGTATACATGTTGTATGACAATAAAGTTCAAATATCTGTCTTTTACATTCTGACTGAAACCTATTAAAACATCAACATCAAATTGACAACAATGGTACCACTTTCTTCTTGCTTTGGTCCGCAATTTTATTTTTTCAAAATATTACACTTTTTTTAGTGTCACATTTACAGTTTTTATATGTGCAGGAACGTTTAAAATAAGAAATAAAATTAATTCATTTTTATATTTAGTCACATTCTTTTGAATAGTCCACTTTGCTGTCAAAGATCAACGTCCAACGGCTGACAGCGTGAACCTAACATGATCATGGAAATTATTAACATGTCGAATGCGATTGGTTGTTGTATTTGGGAGGCGCGGCATTCTTTTCGAATTCTGATTTCCTATTGGGTGATGCGACTTGTCACTTCGTTTGCTCTCGTTTAAGGTAGTCTGAGTGGAGAAAGTAATGAGGATGGAAGGAGCTGATGTTGTTGAATTATTGAGCAGATTGATAGAGTTAGAGAAGTGATAGCCGTTTACTCGTCCTGTCGGAACCATAGAAGACAGTGGTACCGGGAAACTGACAGATAGCATGCCAGTAAGTAAACACTGACATCCACCACTGTACTTGGTGTCTGTCGCTCCTCTGCCGTGTTAGCTAACTAGCTATTCTGTAAGGAGTCGCAATGACAACTCGCAGTAATTAGAAAGACCGAGTCAGAGACGTTGTGAGGGATTAATTTACACTTCTGTACCGGTTAACAGCTAGGGCTATTGTTTGCCATTTGACTGATTGTGCTTCGAGCATGAAATGATCTTTAAAACACAAGCAGTGACACCGGTTGTCAGTGTGTCAGACTGGTTGAAGTCACTTAGTGCCAGTGGACAGGTCACTGTTAAACCTTGCTTGTTTTTGAGAAAAGAAATATGATTTTCCAACACGTTAAGCTGTTGAGCATTTTTATTGCGATCATTTTGAAGTCATAAAAAGATACTTTGTACCTTAACCAGTAAAGGTACAAAATAAAGGTGTATAGATCGTTGTGTATATTGTATGTATTTGTTACTCGCGTAGACGAGTCAAGGCAAGTTTTAGTATTGCTGGCATTTGCACAAATTATTGTAAAAAATTGTGTTCAAATATGCACCAAACTTAATGTTGATGGAACATAACCTAATTTCTGAGGCTCTAGGCTCGGGCTGTAACAATTAGTCGAATAATCAATAATTTAAAAACAACTTATAATAATGCTTTATTTTGATAACTGTTGAAAGCCAACAGTCAGGATGAGTATGTAAATTATGTTTATGTTTTTATTGCATTAATTTGTAATGCTTTTAATTAGTCCTGACAAAATGCTTTAACTGTTTTTTGTCTGTGTGCTTTGTCTGTGTCTTTCTTATTTTTAGATTTCCCCTGTGTTTGTAAAACTGCAGCAGTACTGTGTTGATCAAAGTATTATCAGCAATTTGCAGTATATTTTCACCTTTATACCTTCCTTGATGTTTTCCTAGGGACTAAAAAGAAAAGAGAAATTAGCATTTAGATATCTTTCTGAATTTGCTAATTGAAGTGGGGGTCTATACAAAATAAAATATATGTTATATGTCGGGACTGATCAGATCTTTTTTTCAATAATCTGCAGTAGTAGATCCTGCTTGCACAAAGACGTGATCTTCTGAACCTGGCGCAGAGGCAGAAATGATTGTACTATTATTCTGCCTTTGCCAAACTTAAAATAAATGGTGGGGTGTTATAGAAGTGCAAAATGTCTTGATTAAACAAAGATTAAAATGGGTATCATTTCAGTTGGGATAAGGCTTGGAAATGCTAGTCTTGGATTAGAGTGAAAGTAATTAATTAGAGTAGCTGTGCAAATCTGTGTGTTAAAATCTGTTTAGAACGTAGTCCTGACTGGTGTTTTAGATAATGTGTCCTTATGATTTTTCTTAACCCTATCATGTGATGTGGCTTTCTTTCATAACACTCAGCAAGTTGTGGGGTTTCCTGTGTAAGCAAGGATGGTGTAACACTTCGCTACAAAGCCCAGCTGCTGTTCTAAGGTATCAAATGAACTACCTTACACTGTAGTAGATACTAACTACTTGCTCTGGTGACTCTTAACAGCCAAAAGATGGACAAAATGTAGAACATTTACCTGCGTGTGTCCTGCAGCTTTCATGGTATGTAAATAATTGTGCATATAAATGCAACACACCAACAAGGTAATATGCCACATCTGTGGCTGCTTGTGCTGAAGGCCTCTTAATGCTTTTTGACAGCAAAGCCTGGAAGGTCTCACTGGCTCTGCTGTCATCCAGCATCACAGCCAGTAGCTCCTCAGTCTGATGCTGTAAACAGTAAACAGAAGCATGAAATCAGTTTTCCTTTACACACACACTCATATAACGTATTAAAGTAGATGTAAGTTTAATTCTTAACACTTTTTTGTAGGTATAGATCTATCTAATCAGAGTATATTCCAGCTGGGAAAAGTGTTTTAAATTTTTAGTTCTTCCATATTGAATATGTTCAGGTGACACGGTGAAATAATTCTGGAACAGGTAAAATTTCACTTGTGTAGTAAGATTTCCACAATTAGCAGATCTTTGTCATCGAATGTGACAAAACTACACCAGGTCTGTAGTACAAACTGTTTAGAATGAGAGGGGATGATCCGAATTGTTTCTCTCTGTAGAATCTGGCTGCAGGAACACAGAATTACAACGCTTTGATTGGAGTTGAATATTAATTGGTGTCTTTGCAGCAGCGTAAGCGTTAGCACAGGCTTCTCTCAGAGGCTTCTTCTCTATCAGCTCTGTTGATATGTCTTTTAGAAGCACGCTAAAAGAATACCTTGTTGTCACGGCTGCTTGGCTTGCAGGCAGTTCTTTTTCTCATTTGGTGTGTGCAATTGAGAAATTAAACCGACCCCTCCTTCCCCCGCCTCACCACCACCACATCCCAGCTTTTGTAGTACCTGAGGGGAGAACGATGTAATAGTTGAAATTATAAGTGGATAAACCAAACACCCAGCTCGTGTTTAAACTGTAGTAATGGATGTGCAGAAGAGCTTGTTGCAGGTTAAATAAAGGTCAGTTCAGGTTCTGTGCCTTGGACATCTTGGACAGCTCTGCCCTTTATGGCCCCAGTCATGAAACTCTGTCTCCACAGACCCTTAAAATAGTCTCTTTTGGTCTTAACGACAGCAGTACAGGCGGTTTGGGTGTGACTGTAAAAGACATTAGTCAGCCGGGAATTCAACTGCTCGTTGTGGTATATTTAAACACATCTGCTGTGGAGCACCGTATCCCTGTACACCTATATTTTCTTGATTGCTTTGTAATCAGCCAGAACACTAGGTTGTGTGGTGTGTACACTTGTAGCACAGGAAAAAGCTGCTGGGCCAGCTCGGTCACTCTGTTAAAACCACCCACTTCATCATTCTCTTTTTTCTTCCCTTCATTCAAGCCTTCATTGTTATTGGCTCACCCACTTCCTGAAAAAAGAAGGTCTTAATGCATGTGTAACAGGAAATGAGGCAACAGGGAGGGAAATGTGGAAATGTGTGAGTGTCCACTCAATTTATTCCTTCATGGACTTGCTTGAGTTCTCACTGCACTAGCCTTCTTAGACGGGTATGTCGTCTCCTGTTTTTCTTAACAAACGTGTGTAATTTTTTTTGTAACTGTTTCATGGTTACTTTGTTACAGCACTGCAAACACCGGGTCGGACCATTTTAAGCTCCTTTTTTTTTTCTTACTGAAAACCATGTGTGTTTGTGTGTCTGTGCGTGTGTGTGTGAGAGAAAGAGAGAGAGAGAGAGAGAGAGAGAGAGAGAGAGAAGGTCAGAGGCGTGGTACTTTATTCAGAATGAACTGTCAACTTTAGCGAGCTCACAGGAACAGGTTCTGTCAGAGCAGACATTGAATCACTCATTACCTGCAGTACTCCGGCCACCCCTTGACTAGTGTGATTCTACAGGCTTCAAGATTATTGCTGAGATGAGAAGACTGGGGCCTATTGAAGTCTCCTTACTTATCGACCACCACAGTCTCCATTTCCTCTGTGTAATTCATCCCTGGGGTCATTATAATTTTTTTTTATCTCCCATCTCTCCACTTACTTCAGAGCCTATTCATTTAGCCATCGATCCTTTCTCCAGTGTCCTTCTGGACTCCCTACTGTCCCTCTACTGCAATTTAGCTGTTAGTGGATTTCTCAAATCACTTGTTTGTTAGTGCTTGTCAACGTTAGTACTGTTTTATTCATGTGCGTGCTTCCCATGTCCACAGCGTTGGCACACTCTCAGGCTTTTATTGATTTCTACAGTGATCCTTTGAGTCCTAATGACATAGCCTTAGAGCTGGTCATACTAAGGCTGAAGACCAGTGTGTGCCAGATAACATAATTACGTTCCATATTGTACTCTGCTGGGCAATTGTTTTTCTAATTGACTACCGGTCTGCTTGAATTGTGTCAGTGCCTCCTAGAAATCTGTGAGATTAACCGTTTGCCATGGCTACCTGTCAATTTAGCAGTAGCAGTTTTTTTTTTGTTGTAATAGCATGTTTCTGTTTTATATGCATTTGATTGGTTATGGAATAACAATTCTAGAAAGAAGTGTAGAATCATTCCTTAAGACTTAAATGTACATTGAACATTCATGCAAGTTTGACCACTCCATTGTGATTAAGTGTCAATTACCCCTTTATTATCATTTAAGTGTTTTCACCTTGAATTTATTATGTCTTTTCTACATTCACAGAAAACATTTTTTTAAAGTAAAGTCAGGCCCATGTGCCCCCTCCAGGTGTTTTTGCAGCATCTTCCAATGTCAGGTGGCAAAGAATATTACACCAGCATGTGGCATGCTTGGCAGCTGCCGATTTTAGCACTCAGGTATTCTTTTCTGGACACAGTGATGTAGATGATGAAGAAGACAAGCCGCAGACGCCAGTGTGGGCGGATTTGATTGGTTCAAAGATGACTGTGTAGGAGGAGAACACGTCTTCCACACTGAGTCATCCAGACTAATCACAGCCTCTTTTTTTTTTAATCACTTGGCCTGTCATTAAAATGCACACACTGGCTTTAGATGTAGCTGTCCTCCTCATTGTCCCCACTGGCATTAGAGCAGCGAACAACAAAATGCCACAAAGGCCTAATTTTTCTAAATGGAGGCTAAACCGCTGCATAATCCCCTCCCCTCTTCATGAGTCATGAGCTCCCAACCTCTCAGGCCCGTCACCGTAGAGTCCATATATAATTACTCTGCAGCAATGAAGCACCCAGTTCCCAAAACTTTTTCAAATAAGGCATATGTTAAGTGAAGGTCAAAATAAATGGTTTAAGGAAAGTATATGTTGCAGGCAATACAGGAGGAACAAAACGTGGTCCTCATCGGTCCTAATCTGAGCATGTCTCTGCTTGACAAGTGCAGCCAAGTGTTTTCAGCCTCTTGTACCAAACATACCAAACATGGACTGTAATTCTGTATTTACAAGCAAACAGTTTGTACTGTTTCCAACTGCACATATGACATTCCCTACATTGCAGACTGTGGATGGAATTGTGTAATGTATTAGTCATATGAAGAGCTGTGTTCTCCTTTTCAGCTGTTGTCAGTCTGCTTCCATGACACTGCCCGTGTTTGTAGCACTGGTGTAAGTAATAATGCTGCCAATGTAACCTCTGTACATTTTTAGACTTTAACCACAGGTTATATTAGTGTTGATCTATTGAAAGTTCAAGATAACGTTTGACATTCAATCTTGTAAAAAAAAAAAAAAAATTCTTTAAAAAGAAGTGATAGAGTTTCTTCAGTCTTCAGACTCTTAATTTCAGTTAAATACATTCTGTATATTGATTATGGATTCTTAAACATTATTGTTAGAAATATTACAATACCTGATGACTATATTGGATGGCATGAAAATCAAAGTTGATTTGTTTTATTCATCAGTTATTAATTTTTTAAGAGACACAGCGGTAACTAAGCTGAAATAGATAAGGTAACATTAGAAAAGAGAGTTGAGCTAAAGGAGAAATGGAGAGTCAAGATCAGGCAGTGAAGGGTTTGGAATAAATAGGAGGCATTAGAGCAAGAGAGAGAGAGAGAGGGAGAGAGAGAGAGAGGGAGAATAGGCTATGGAAGGAGGCAGAGGGAACATTTGACAGCAGTAAATGTGGGTTAAAGCAGGTAAGAACCTTTTTTTCGCTCTCACAGACATCTGAACTGTACAGTCTGATCGACAAACATCTAAATCTGCTGTGCCACAGTTCTCACTTTTTTTTCACTAGTCTGAGTTCTTCAGCTGTGAAGTCAGCTAGGATTCACTGTGTGGGAGGCTTTGATTTGCCAGCCTGAGGTGAGGTACTTGCTACAGACTAGTGTGTCTGTGAGAGGGGGAAACAGGAAGAGATTGATAGAGGAAGGAGAGACTTGTGCTTCTTTGGAGCATTGAAGTCGTGCCTGGAGCGCTGACATTTCTGCAAAGTATTTTTTATCGGGACACAGATCTATAGCAGGCGAACAAAAATGGAAGGAGTCTGGTGAGGGTTGTGTGAGAATGAGTGTGTGACAAATGTATGTTTTTCATCTGTCAATATTTCAGCTAACTGGTATTTTTTTTACTTGACTTTATTTCTCTCTCACTCATTCTCTCTTTTTCTCTTTCAGGTAGAGGTGACTTCACTGCAAATGAGGGAACATGTTGGCTATGGACCAAGGAGTGGTGGAGGAATGGCTTTCAGAGTTTAAGGTAATGCATCATTTTCTATGCTAGTGTGTTGCTTCTGTTTGTTATTAGCAGCATGTCTTCTACACACACACACACACACACACTCACATAAACAGGGTGAGAGCGCTCACTGATTGTCCCCAGGCAGTAACAGGCTGGAGAGCTTCTTACCCCGAAGATTGCACTCTCCTAAGTATGAGCGCTCACTGATTGTCCCCAGGCAGTGACAAGGAGCAGACCCTGTTTTCCTGTCAGAGTTTTCACCTCCATAACACTAATGTTCATTTGGCAGTGGTGTCCATACATCTTAAACCAAACCTGAGGGTTTTTTTACTTCTCATTCTGCCAATTGTCAGATTACCTGGGATTAAAACTGTATAACTTTTTTAAATGAATAAAAGTTTTTAAATACTTATTTTTAAACTAAAAGCCTATAAGTTTTGTGTGGGATTACATATAGAAATAACATTTAATGCTTCAGACACCTGTAGACCATTGTATAAAATATGTCAGATGTATTAATTCATTCTCATTCATCGGTATTCTACAATGAACGTAAATGGAATGGCTGTTAATACCAGGCTGTTTATCAACAGATCAAAGGTTGTCCTGCTGTTTGTAGTTTTATATGCCTGAAGTCAATGATATGCATGTTGTAAACTGTGACTGTTTGTTTTTTTTAGACTCTTCCTGACAGCGCTGTGTCCAGCTACGCTGCCTCACTCAAGGAGAAAGGTTCCCTGGTACCAGCACTGTACAAGGTCATCCGAGAGAATTACAGCGATGTATGCACACACACACACACACACATTCACTGTGACATTCAATACCGGGTTCAATACAATTGATTGATATTTTATAACCTTTACATTTGTTTGTTGAGTGATGCTTTTCTTTTCTATGGTGTGTTCTGCCCAGTTGTTGGAGCCGGTCTGTCACCAGTTGTTTGAGTTTTACCGGTGTGGTGAGCCACAGCTGCAGCGGTTCACGCTACAGTTCCTGCCAGAGCTCCTGTGGAGCCTCCTGTCCGTCAGCGCAGCCAGAGATCCTCACACCTCCGGCTGCATCGAGGCCCTGCTGCTGGGCATTTATAACCTGGTAGGAATCAGGGGAAAGATTATTGTGTGCATGTGAATGTGTTTCGTATTTTTCTGCCTCTTAGATAACAACACTCAGTAATTTGCTTGTGAACTACAGCTGGGGAGTTGCCAGATATTTTAAAAGCTGCATCATGTGTTAAACCTAATTGCCTTATGTCCTTTCTGCCACATTAGTGTTTTATGATGCGTGACCAAATGCAAGTTAGAAATAGAGGAATTGAAACACAGTTGTTATGCTTACACTTTCTTGTCTGTTGCTTTTCTTCAGGCTTCACGAGCACTAGCTGATATTTATTGGTTTTGTCGCCGGGTTTTATACAGTTCAGCTTTAAATATTCTGCCATGGAAGTTCAGTGTTCTCTTACTTCCTGTTAGAATAGCAGAAAAGGTCAGCTGTCAGTCAACTCCCTGGCTGTCTCCCATTAGTTTATTTGACATTAGCATGCACCCAGGAAACATCAAGACCCTGTGGTTTGCCCCCCCCCCCCCCCCCCCATCACACAAGAAGATCTTAAAGCAGCATATACACACACACTAACAAGGAGGGGAAAGTGCAGACAAATCAAATGGTCACACACAGCAGAGAAGTGTGGTGGAATAGATGAGCGCACCATATTCCCTCTTTCCTCATTCTTGCCTGAAGAAACTATCTTTTCTTGACCTCCTTTCCTTTTCTGTCACAGGAAATAGTTGACAAGGATGGACAGAACAAAGTGCTGTCTTTTACAGTCCCTTCCCTCTCCAAACCGTCAGTGTACCACGAGGTGAGCTACTGTACACACACGCATATCCACACAAGTCTTTGTTTTTGGAAAATATTTTCCAATATTTTTCCTTATTCAGCCTTCGGCCATCGGTTCCATGGCCCTCACAGAAGGAGCTCTAGCTAATCACGGGCTGAGCAGAGTGGTGTACAGCGGGCCACACCAACAGAGAGAGACCTTCACGGCCCAAAACAGGTAAAAGACATGATGGGCAGGTTTCCAGGGCTGGTGGGGACATGTTGAGCTTGTTTTACAATTATGGACTTTTAAAAGGCGTCTGATTGTATGCAGGCAGGCAGACTTGTGTGTGGCAAAGCTTGACCAAGCACCGGAAAAAGAACCAAAAAAATAGCCTTGAAGTATAACTTCCATTTACTTGTCCTAAAAATTCAGGTCATGTGGAGCTAAAATCAAACATTTTTAGTTGGGACAAGTTAACAACTACTTGGCAGGTAAAGTTGCACTCCTTTACCTAAAAATGTAAACACGCCTCTCTGTGCTGGTTGGTTTGGTTTTCTGTTAAGCCAGTGGATTCCAAAGTGGGTGTGGGCCCCTGTTGTGAGGCACGTAGCAGTTAAAGGGGGGCCACAGCAAGGATCATGAACTTAAGTTCAATAACTGCTTTTTTGGTTGGTGAAGAAACTAAAGAAAGAACATGAAGATCTTCATACTACCTTACTAAGACTTTGTGCTTCAGGTTTAAACACAAATATATTTATTCTTGCAGTCTGCTTCTTGTTTTTTGGTTATTTGCATCAGCAGGTATACAATATACAATACACTGTATGTACTGTATACTGATGAACTGCAGGAGAGATGCTGTTTTCACTGTCTTTTATGATGTTGAGATTTGAGGTGCTGACCTTCCTGCTGTTGTGCTACAACGCTGCTCTCAGCTACATGAGCGCCACTTCTCTCCAGTCGCTCTGTCAGCTCAGCTCCAGGTACTTTTCTGTTTGTTTGGTTTTTTTTTTCCTCTTTATTTTATGTGTATGATTTTCATTTGTGTGGGGCTGCCTTTATAGTCGGCTCCCGTTTGCACATTTATTGTAGTTACAGGGCAGAGTGAGTAAATTAGCTAATGTGTGTGCAGATAAGAGACGTTTCCTCAACGTAGACCCTTCTCTGATACACATTTGTTATGTGTTTATTTTTCTTTGTCCTGCAGAGTGTGTATATGCGGTTACCCACGGCAACAGATGCGACGGTACAAAGGTATTAGTAGTAGAATGACGGTCACTTCCGAGTTCCTGGTTCAGCTCATCACTGGGATACACTTTGCCCTGTGAGTGTATACACATGCACACACTATGGTACCGTACAGCTTTTTATAAATGATACTTTTAAATTCAGTTTTTGTCCTCATCTGTGGTTAGTTTTACCTGACGCTCTTGCTTATTTTATTTTATTTTGTGGAATTATTTTTCTGAATCAAACGTCTGTTTGTTCCTGTGTGTAGGTGTAATGGAGAAGCTGAACTAGGATCCAAAGCCCTGGACGATGTTCTGTACAGAGCCAAGTTGGAGTTGTTTCCTGAGGCTCTTCTGGTGGGTTTATCTTATTTCTGTGTTTGTGGACCTGGGGAGTGTGTGTTCAGTCAAGAACAAAGACTAAAAAAATGTTGCAGTATTTCAACAGGGTTTTCTTATAGAGGAGAAATAGCTTCTGCACATACTTACAGAATGCATGTGATTCAGATGCACATGCTAACCTGTGGACTTCTGGTTTATTCCAACCACACTATGCTGTTGTATGTCAGAGTCTGCAGGCAGTGTGTAATCCCTCAAGATTATTCACTTGCTTTTCCCTCTGCTGCGTTAAGCTGTAATCCTTGAGGCCCAGGGAGCAGGGGGGATTGAACCTAAGATCACAGCATTGCTACAAGCACTTAAGGTGTTCTTACTACAACAATCAATACATAAAAGGTTTATTGTGTGAAGCAGGGTTTAGTGATAGCTTTAGATGAAACGTCCACAGGGAGAGGAAGCGATTTAATTTCACACAAAGAAATAAGATGACAAAGATTCACCATAAGAAATAGAAAATAATATTCAGATAGTAAGATAAGATTTCAAGATTTAAGAGGCAATTAACTTTTCTAATTTAACACTTAAACATCACTTGGTATCAGTCTTAATTTTGACATACATGTAACGTATTTTTTTTTATTTAGGTGTTGAGAAAAGGCTACAACAAATTTCTTTATACAATCTCAAGTTGACATGTTTACCGTTGTCTCAACAAACAATGTGTTGATATTCACTTCTATGTACTAATATGACATCTCAAGAATTTTCTTCAGTTCAACCCAAAGTTCTTTAACATTGGTTCATTCTTAATAGGTTTGACCCAGTTGTTTTGACTTAAATGCCTTCAGCGTAGCTTAGCGCTGACGTCTCTGGAACAAGTCTGCAGCTACACAAACAAAACAACTCCATTGTGTGGTGATTATGTTGTCAGCATCATGTCATGTGTAACATACTAAGGTGTTACATGATCAGTGTCAATGCCACGGCCACTGTGCAGTTTCATTCCAAAGAAGCGGTTCTTACAAAACAATGTTTGAAGACAATCCTGTCTGTTGCTCCTATTTCACCAGCCTCTGTATTTTCAAAGTGCCATTCCTTTTGTTTACTCCGACCCAACAGCTCAGCTATGACTCATTTTGTGAGATTTTACCAGAACCATACCACAAACTTCCTTATTTACATGAAGCATTTTGTATATACGATTTATAAACATGTTCATCTAAACCAGGAGACAAACAAATTCACTGCCTCTGATTATTTAGTCAAAAGGTTTCTTTTCAGGCTGCATCATCAAAAAAACAGCATCATACTCAGATAAAGGAGATAAATGAGGAGGTTTATGGACTGTGACTCAATCTAAGTTACTTGAGTGAAGCAGTAAAATTAAAATTTTAACACTGATTGTGCTCATTCTTGCCCTCAGGTGGGTAATGCCATCAAGTCGTCCCTGCATGGCGCGGCACTGAAGAGCAACAAGGAGGGCGCCCGCAGTATCCAGGTGGAGATCACGCCAACCTCCTCCCGAATCTCCAGGAACGCTGTCACCTCCCTCTCCATCAGAGGACACCGCTGGAAGAGACACGGTAAGATGTTCACACAAGCAGCGAACCAAGAGATGCACGTCTGTGAGAATTCAGTCACTTCTGTCTCCTTCCCAAAATCAACTGAGGAACCAATCCAGGTCAAAGGAGAGAGAGACGATAAAGATCTAGATCACTTCATTTTCATCATGTCATACTACTTGCCTAAGTAGGACAGTGTGACGTCATTCTGTTGTAATTGCAGTTACTATGATTTCTGTTCTTTTTTTTTTCTTTAGTAGCATTGATCTTTTTTGTGTGTGTGCACGTGTTTGACTTTTTGTAGGCATAAGTTTTGAATGTGTGTGTATATGTATACATGTGTTTGTTTATTGTTCCATCACACCACCCTTGCTTCCCCACCACCAGAGTCCCAGGAAGTGAGTGTAGACAGTGAGGCGTCGCTGGGGGGCGTTGTCATCCCTGAGATCAGTGTGACAAATGTGAGCATGGAGAGAATGGCCAACGGAGACTCCGTGAGGCCGCGTCCTGATGGCCGTGCCCAGCAGGATGGCGACGTACTGGGGGTCCCCTCTGAGGTCAGCCTGGACCCCAGGGGTTATGACTCCAACACACGGGTTCAGGAGGTCAGGAGGCAGAAGTCTGTGAGGCGGTTGGTGGAGAGTGAGGTTTCTGGGCCAGCCTCCACAGGGAAGAGCCAACACTAAGGTCCTGCCCCTCCCTTCCCCCTAGTGCTTCTCCTGGGTTGACCTAGGTAATGTGTGTGGGGCCGTGGTCTGAGAAGCTGCATGATGACTTCACGGCTTTACCTTTTGGCACTGGGCTTGGGCACCTTCTCTTTGCCTACTAGCACTGTTCCTTCCATCTGTTCATTCATTTACTCTCTCCTGTGCAGCTAAGACTTCCTCATGAAAACTCCCTGCTGAAAACCAATTCACTGTTTGAGCTATAACTGAGTAACAATTAAAATACCATGACAAAAGCAGAGCTTGGCTGAATCACATAAAGAAAACTAATCTTTTTTTTTACATTCAAATATAAAATTCTGCTTTTAACCTTTCAACTGACAACACCCTGTGACCTTCAACAACAGCCCTACAGTATGTATAAAGATAAAGAGAAGCTCCCTATTAATACAGAACATCAGTTAAACACAATGTTAAACACCTTTCTTCTTTACCTGTGGTAAATATAAGAAAGTCACAGAAGGTCTCCTGGACCTTGAAGCAAAGCTAAATGTTCCATTGTCAGCAGAACCAGGGGTCTGTGATTTTTCAGGGTCCGATACAGTTATCACCAGGCTTTCGCTCACACATTTCCTCTGGGTTACAGCTGGAGACAGGTTTCTTTCTTTTGGTCTATAGCTAGAAGCTGTTGATATGCAGGTTCTGATATATTTCATGTATGACATTGTCAGAACATGGTCAGAACTGTGAAGTCCTGCCTACCAGTCTGTTTACTGGTGTTCTGTGCAGTGACAGATCAAACCAGATGGGGGCAACTTTGTTAATGTAAGTGATTTGCAACTCTTAACACCTTGACGGAAGCAGGAAGATGGTTTGTGGGTCTCTTGTGGTTTGAAAAAAAAAAAATATATATATATACTATATACTGACTATATATTCCTAACTGTATATTTTTTCCTTTTTTTTCTGCTGTGACCTTTCCCTGACCTTTGCTCCTTGTCTTTGTCTTCTCCTCTCTTTGAGGACAAACCTGCTCACCTCTGACTCTTTGTCTCTTGGGTGCTGATACTCTAACACAAACTGAGCTGAACCTACATTTATCTTGTATCAAGTGGCAAGATGTGACTGATAGCTGAGGTTGCGAAGGCGCCACCTGCTGGAGCTCACTTGTCATCCAGTCATTCTTGTAGCTAGTACAGAATAAAATACTTGAATCTTTTAAAAAAAAATCGGGATGCAAATTCTAAATTATAATTCAAGTTTGGTTTGGTTGGGAAATGTAAAGAGAGAATCTGGAAGGTGTTAAACAATTGGAATAGAAACCTGTAAAAAAAAAAAAATCAGAAACATGCTTTTCTGTATATTCTACCTTTTAAGTTGTCTTGAAAAATTGCACAGTAGTATGGTTTTATCCAAAACCATACCCAACATAAAGTAAGAATGAATCTATGATTCTGTCTGGATGGCAGGTGAGGTTTAGTTATTTGTGTCCTGGTTTTCATTTTTCTTGTTTTGTTCCTGTTTGTTTGTCCTACAGACGCTGTTGATTTGGGTTCCCCGGATGAGTTGATGGACATTTCAGAGGTGGATGAAGGGGTGTGGCCAAGTGGGGTTGGGCCTGACACAAACCCGCCCACCATCACTATCAGCAACAGCATCACCACGTTAAATCTGGGAGCCAAGGCTATGAAGAAGTGCCGTCTTGGTGGACGCAACAGCAAGGACAAAGACAAGGAGACCAGTTCTCTAACATCTGTCCGGGCCGCCAGTGAGAACGTGGAGCTGTCTGTCAAACGGCTGACACTCACTTCCAGCCAGTCGGTGCCCAAGGGAGGAGCTCTCACCAGCCTCACTCGTACAGCCAGTGCTGTTTTCTCCCGCTCCTTTGAGCAAGTGGCGAGCAGTAACGCTCCTCTCTCTGGCAACCATGGCACATCTGAAGCCGGTCGCTACTCGTGCAGCTTGCAGGAGGATGGGATGGGATACCTGAGTCCCGCCCCCAACCACACGCAACGCTCTCCCAGTATCAGTGTCCACCTCGGCTCTGAGGTTTAAACACTACTCTCGTGATCCTGTGACCCTCTTCCTGTGATCTGGAACTTCAAGCCATGCCCACTGTGGAACAACCACGGCGACATGAAGAACCACTCCCACTGTCACTCCATTTTTAATGTTTTTTTGATCGTGTTTGTGGCGTGAAGTGAACTGCTGCAGAGAGAGCAGCACCAGCTCTAACGTCAGGGAAACTTCTTCCAGCTCCGCTGATCTGTCTTCTGTTTGTTGTAATAGTGAACTGTTGCTGTGAAGTCACACCAGTCCAGATCTCTGCTCCCTGTCAGAGTACTCTGTTGTAAAAATGGGCAAAGTTGAGACTAAAAACAAACATATAAGAGTATTTTCCTAAAGAATTTTAATTGGCATTTATTGCCCTGCATGGCTTTTTCATACATCCATCATGACCCTGCTGTGGTTTGTTAACAAGGACATTGGTCATGTGTGTGTAAGGAGGTATGTGTATGAGAGAGAGAGAGTGTTGGAGAGTGTGCTGTACAGTGTGTGTATTTATGTTTTTTTAAGAATAAAGGCTGCTGATTGCTACTATGATTACAGTATGGTTCCCCTTTTGAAATACAACTCCCCAATCAGAGCAATACTGTATTCTCTTGTTGAGTGTTTTCTGTTTTATCCTTAAAATTACCCATACCCCCTCCTTGTTCTCTTCTTCATTTACAGGTTCACATGCTTTCTTTTTAAAGTAGTGACTAAATAATCAAACGTGTGTGACATTAAGTAGTTGTAAATGTTTACAGTTGCACAGTATTGTCATTACAGAGAAGCAATATCTGCACCCCTCCCTTGCTGCTCTAGCACCTTCCTAATTGGCTGTGCTCCTGATGGCAGACATTTAAAATCTTACTTCTGAGAAATTCAAAGGAGCCTGTACAGCTTATTGAGTATTGAATTTTGCACTTGGAGTGTTTTCTTCTGTATTTTCTTACTGTGAGCAGGAGATCTGTCCCTAAAATGTGTTGTTTTCCTGTGTTGTTTCCACCAGAGAGAGAGAAACATGCACTGTTGCCGTTTTCACAAAAACTAAAAACCGTCCCACACCCGACTTTCCACTAGAAATATCATTTGATACCTGTGAGCAACACACGGACTGTTGTTAGGGCAACACAGCAGTTCCCTGTTTACAGAACTACTCATCATTCCAGATGTTTGTGGTACTTTGGTGATGTGTTTCCACTGTCTCTACTTGTTCTCCATAACAAGAAGTGTGGTGATATTGTCTCTTGTCAGAACAAATTAAAACTCCATCCAGCAGTTGTCTCTGCTTTTCTCCCCTGAACAAAAGTGTTTCCTCTCTGCTGTCGTTTCTACTTGAGCAGTCAAGGGTCTGCGGCTTGTCGGGACTTTTAACAATCATAGTCATCCTCTATATGGGTTGTTTGAATGTGAATGGCTAAGTCTGTTTATATTGACATTATCGTTTGTCTGAAGTAAACTCACTGCCACAACTTTGGGGAATAAAGTGTTTCTATATTTCACCTGTGTGCTTCCTTCATTTGTCCATGTCTGGGACAAGAAGAATTGACCATATTCAAACATCACAGTCAGACAGATAAATGTAGGTGCAACGTCACAGCTTAATTTTTTTTTACTTTGACATAAACTTTTAAAGACTATAATTAGCACTGGAATGGCCTGCAACAAAAATCAATAAAGTTATAGAAAAATAAAAGAGGGACAGTAACAGTCAAGGTATTATTATTATTTTATTTTATTATTAAAAATTACAAATAGATAGCTACAAGTATACTGGAAAAAAGTACGAAATATAAAATGTAAATACCTGTAATGACACGCCAGGCCACCAGGGTCATTGTTCCAAGCTGATCACGAGATTGCCTCTCTTCCTGTACGTCACTTCCTCTCCGCACCGGTCCTCACGTTTCTTGTCCTCCGTGGAGCGGTCATGCCGAAAATGAGTAAAGAGACCAAACAGCGGCTGCAACAGCTTTTCCAGTGTGGACAGTTTGTCATCCGGTGGGGCTTTATCCCAACTGTCTTGTATCTTGGTCAGTATTCGAACACCTACAGCGTGGAGGCTACTCGCCGCTCAAAAAGCACTGGCGAACGTTGGGCAGTTAGCTTTAGTCACTTAGCCTCCTGTCACGCAATCACCTAGAGTCACTGTATATTTGGGTTGTTGCTTGCAGTTTTTACACATTAATTTCTTTATTTCCACATCTATTAATTATTCATTGTTTAACTATGGTAAAATGTAAAACATTTGTCATGTGGTAGATCCTGTGTCCTTCCCTTTAAACTACTTTTTAAAATCAGTTTTCAGTTTTCTATCTCTTAGTATTTTGTATACGTTTTTGAGATTACAATTTTCTAAACAACGAATTAGTTATTTGATTTACTCTTTCTTAGTGGGGGCCGCCATGTTTGATCAAAATGTGTTTTAACATTTGCCCACTGTAAACAACCTGCTTGTTATTATATGATTCTAATGCTCTATATTGTGTACTTTATTTTTATTAGGTAAAACTAAGCGCAGCTGTTATTCAACCCAGTGATACAGTGATACTGTAGATATGGATTTGGTCGAAAGTTGTAATTACTGTACTGTACAATACTGTATTTGACGTCTTTTAAGTGTCAATGTCATTCAGCATAATGAATCTACCCGCGTACTGCTCCGACCATAAAAACACACAGAGCAACACTATTAATCTCATTAAGATTATATATATATATATATAGATTATATTTATGTACATATACATATTTGTATGTGTGTTTATATACATATTTCACGCACCTCTGTTAGAGGTACGGTATTGATTTTAATATTTACAATTGTCTATTCATGGTTTGCAGTAGAGGGAGAATCAAACCTTCGTGACCTTAGTTACTGCAGATTGCAACACATTGTTCTAGGAATTCAGCTTCGGGGAGATGCTGATTTCGACACTTTTTAAAAATTCGGATGTCGGAAGAAGTCATTTCTTTTCCTAAGAATGGGTTGTGTCATAGTTTACATCTTTTGTCCCCATTGAATTAAAGTGCAAAAAATAGTAGTGTCAGTTTCCCAGAGGATGGATGGATGGATTGATAGAATCCCTCGGGAGTTAAATTAAGGCAAGGTGTAAATGGTTTATTCAGATATGCTCTTCATCTGATCACACCCGATTTCAAAACTCTGAAAAATGGCCTGTCTGTCAGTATGCGGGAGATTAAAACTGCTGATAGGTTGTCCTGACTGAGTGATATTTTTAGTGTCATCACCAAAGACGTTCTTACAGGAATGCAAGATTTAAATCTGTGCATAAAATCATTTGTTATAGTTTTGTATTGCACATGGTTTAGTCACACTTTCCAATTTCCACATATGATTTACAGGGTTTAAACGTGGAGGAGATCCAGGCATGCCTGAACCTACAGTCCTGAGGTGAGGTTGAAACCCTAATTACATTTATGTGCAATTAACATGGAACTGTACAGGACGGGGAGTGATTTCTTTTTCACTCTTATTCTTTTGTTCAAACCACAAACATCATCTTCAATTAAATATCCAACTGTCAAAAAACACAGATGCTTCTGACTGTCGTCAGGAGGAAGCCACCCTCCTTCTCCTCCTCGTCCTTCTCACACTAATAACTCAGTAAACATTTTCAGTTGCACTGTTTAAATTGACTTTTGTGTCCTTTTTCTAGTTTGCTCTGGGGTTGAGGCCCAGAATCTTGATTTTCTTCTTCAAGACCATGTGATCCTTCTGTTTTGGACGTCCAGAATAAATCTGGACTTCCTTCTTGTCACTTTCCTCTTCACAATGTCAGACCTGTATATCTGACAACAACAAATGCATGTCAGTGGTGGCCACCTGGAGATCTGAACACAATGGGAATTGTCTTGTCCTAGTCAGGGATGATGCCAGTGTGCGGCAATGATGCTTGGAAATACCATTCATTCCATGGTTTTCATCTTTTTTTTGTTTAAATATCCTAAATAAATTCTCAATGTTAACAAAAACCAAGTAGTACTTATCTGTTAATGTCGTCTATTTAAGTTCAAGGTTTTAAAGTGATATTTGGCAGGAAAGATGCCAACTGACTGCAGTTTGTAATGTGTGAAATTAACAAGTTATTTATGTTACTTTCTGAAGATTTATGTGATTACCGTAATACAATTAAAAATCTCACATTGGAAGCAATTAATTTCCTTTTTTTTAAATATTTTTTATTAAATAAACAGTGTTGCATTAGCTTGTTGTCACAATTCACAAATTAAAAATAAATCAGTAAAATATAAAATATTTCTGTGCAATCTCATTGTTTTATTAATAAATAATCCTCAAGTATAAAATAGTCAAAATAAAAATAAAAACTCAAGTATAAATAAATATATTTTGTTAAATTCTGTGGTGCCTCATCAGGACGTCAGAGCCTGTTTCCTCTGTGGTCACTTAATTCTTCAGTGCTGTAAAAAAGTGAAGGTTAGGTTTCATGACGCGACTGGTCCGCCCCCTCTCTCGTTTGCGAACTGCCACTATGCCATCACGCAGGAAGTTGTGGAACTGCCGCAGGATGCAGTGCGCTGTCATCTTTCTTTCGAAAGGGATCGGGTTGTTGAGGTCACTCAGCAGTTTCTCCTGCTGGCTGCTGGTCATGTTGGTGACCAGTCTGGGGTTCTTCATCTGTGGAGACACACACACCATGCAGTTGCTCTCTTCTTTCATTTTTCTTCAGCATTATATGGGTGAAATAACAAATCAACTAAATATTTTAGATACACAAACCATGTAATAATGCTGGTTAAGGTTTGACATCAAAGTGCTGATGTTTGTGGTTAGCATAAAATAAGATCAAACGTCAGAGAAGGAAACATATTTTCACTGCTGTTGGGAGTACAAAAAGATATTGGAAATATTTTTCTATGGTAATCAGTGGGAAAAGTCCTGTGACTCACTGTAAGCTTTTCGTGAAACTACTCTTAATTGCTCGAAAATGCATCTTTCATTCTGGTTTAATGAATGTCCACCCAGCATAAACCGTTGGTACAAAGAGGTGTTTGGTACCCTCCCTCACGAAAGGCTCCATCCGATCATAATAGGGAAAAGGTCATTTTTTTTAAACATTTGGGTTTTTTTAGCACTTTCCAGAACATTCCATGACCTGCTGGTAGGGGTAAGGCTTGTAGTTTGGGATTATGTCCGTCTATTGTTGGGAGGGTATGGGATTGCTGTATTGTTTCAGTTTTGTTCATATATATATTTTTCAAAAAATCCACAAAAACTAACCCTAAAAAAAGAGGAGGGAAACAGCTGACAGTGCCCTGATTACAATCCCTATCCTTTAACTACACGCTGTAGAGCATCACTTAAATGAATGAAATGGTATTTTTTTAGCTCCACATCAGTTATTTGCAGCCCCAGAGATGATGATAGTGCAGTTTGTCAGACCTACCTTTTCTTTGATGAGGTTGATTAGCCTAATGTTGTAGGGTTTGATCTCCATCACAATGGCGTTGTTGGGATACTCCTGCTCCACATACATTAAAAGAACCATGTAGGTGTTCAGACCTTCGGCCAACCTCTTGAGACATGCCTCCTGGTAAAAAAAAAAAAAGAGAGAGAAAAAGATCAGAGTTTGTTCCTTATCCTCGTCACCAAAGTGTCAGAACCAAAGAGGAGGAGACACGCCACCTTGCTAAAGTTGGATGTAGGGCAGCCTGCTGGAATTGCGGGGAATCTGTAGTTGTCCAGATAGTAATATGTCATTTCACTCTTGAATTCCTCTTCAAACTACAGAACATCAAAACATTAATAATCAGTTTAACTGCAGCTTCTATGGACCATGTCAGTCTAAACCAAATGTCTCCAAGTCTCCAAAACCGTCATGTCTGTCTGAAGTTGCTGACCTCTTTCTGGTGACGAGCAGTTGCGCCGAGAATCAAGCCCCAAAATGGAGACGCACTCAAGAGTCCATGGGTCACTACATCCTCCTCCTCACCTGAAGAGTCACCTGCCAGAATGTCGGTCACCTCAGTTTCCACTGGCGCTCCGAGGGCACACAGCAGCAGGGCTGTCAGCAGCGTCAGCGTTGACAGAAACTTGGCTTCTGTGCAAAGAGGGAGAGCCTGAGTGACTGAGTGAATGAAAAAAGGAAGACAAGGAGGAAGTGTGAACCACAGGCTGCACAGCACTCACTGAGGGTTGAGACCATGATGCACTGCTGATGAAGTTCTTCTGATGCCGACAACTCTCACTGCCAGAAGATGTTGCCTGGTCTGAGACATAAGTGGACATTTTATATTCTTCAGGCAGGAGGGGGTTTCCCAATACTTTCCTTTATCACTTGGGTCAAGCATCCGGTTCAGTGAGCAACAAATTCAGGTCCATGCAGGAATTTCTATTTCCTTTATTGCTTTCTAGTAGTAATAATAATAACATTAATTTTAAAAAACCAAACATTTACTGTTGTTTTCACTGTATGTCACTTAAGTAAAAATCTTGGCATTTCTTAACTGTGGCAATGCAAATATTCACACATACATGTGGGGAAAGAACCTCACAAATATTTTAAGGTTTTACTCATTTGAAGGGAAGAAGAGGAAATAAAATAAAAATATCACTGCTCAAATGTGACATAGGAAGGGAATTCCCTTTTAAATTTGGATAGAAAATTTTGAAGCACTCTCGATGTTGACATTGTGTATTATCCAGTCCTAGATTTCTATTTAGAATGTTTCTGTTACGCAATTTCAAATATTAGGATTGCTTATTTATTACTTATTTATCACTTAAGAATGTGGTTTTTTAAATGCCAAAAAAAGGACCAAAGATTTAGAAAACCTTGTTTAAATGTGACTCATACTGCATGTCTATAACAGTGTCCACAAGGTATCAGTGAATGTATCCAATATTGTTCCAAGTAAAGTGAAACCAGGTGCCACACAACTGGGATTTCAAAAAAGTACTTTTTAAAATGTTGTTTTTGAGAAATGTAGAAAAAATGTAGTTCCCCTTGATCCTATCTTTGATAAATAATTTCCCATTGTCTCCTTCTCTGTTAGCTCAGTTGGAGAATTCCCAGGTTAGGTAAAAATAGCCGTCATGGTGGAAGCTGTGGTGCCAATAAGTTGTGAAATGGTCTTAAAATAGTCTGGACACAGATCTAAATTACACTACAGGCATATGGAGAAACAGTAGTTCACTTGTTTAAATGCTTACTCATACTTCTAGTGCAACTCTAATTTCTAAGGAAGGGAGGGACACAACTTTCCATTTCTGTTTTTTTTCTTTCTTTTTTAAATCCCATGCCAATGATTATTGCATCAGTTTTAAACCACACTTCCCTGTAACACTCACTGATGACATCTTTTATGTCATGCCATATCTGGTCTTGGTCACGTTGTGGTAAGGCTGACCTCTATATTTATCAACTTTTTTTTGTTAATTCTTTTCACTATGAATTCAACTCCTGTCTATCAGTACATTTTGTCCTTCGTCAGAACAGACGACCAGACCCCTGACCTCTGACTAAGGAACAGTAGTAGTAAAAAGCCTTCTACAAGAAATAAAGTCGAGGACATGGGAAACTAAAACACCACGGGTGAGAATGGTAGGAGGAGGTGATTCAGCACACGACCGTGAGTGGGAACCAATCTGGGGTGACCCTGAGGAGAGCTGTTTTGGTTATGGACACCCCTGTGAAAATTTCCTGGGAGCGCTCATAAAACAGTGTGGTTGAATGAGTTCCCCTTGAATAAGAATAAATCTGTCTGATACCTTGGGCTTTTCTCTGGGTCTTTCTGAGAAACTTTGAGGGTCTCTAACTTCCCCCGGCAGCTTTAGGACCAATTTCTACCAGAGGAAGTTACAACAGAAACTGATCCATAATTTATAGTAACAAGGATTACATTGATAAATACACATATACATAACGAGAGAGAGCTAGCAATGCAATGTTATTTTACACAATTATTTTGTATTTTTAATATTCAGCCCCTTTATACATCACAGAACATGCAGGCTTCACCCACTACAGCCTGTAAATGTAGACACACTAAAGTAATTCACTTTATCATATGTGTTTTTCTGTGAATTGTGTGAATATTTTTTTATTTTTTGGTATTTGTTAATATTGGAAAAACATAGTTTCGTTTTCTTAACTTTTACTTTTTGCATTTCCTTGGAACTGAAGCCCACAGCCTGTAGTTCAATTGGCCACGGCTAGAGGGCAGTAACACAGCATCGGCCGCAGCATCATCATCACCAGGAGCATCATGATAGACGGAGCTTTCTGCCCACACACACCGACAATAACGCAGTGTTAAACTCTGAACTCGACTGTCCGGGGCTTCTGTGTTCAGGGAAGTATTGTATTGAAAATGATGCTCCGCCTCAATCACAGCGTTTGCGGTTGCTGTTGTGTAAAATATTGATCAATTAATTACTTTTTAATTGCTTCGGTGGGGAATGTAAAGCTGGCCAACCAAAGGGTTCGCTGAGGAGATTTAGACCCATTTTACCTTCAACTATTAGTTCAACGAGTTTCATATTTATTTATTAATAAAAAACACAATTCCTTATATTAGTGTTGTAAATATTGGTATATTGTTACACAATATACCAACAGGTAACAGGTACACTGTATTTTCTTAGTTTAAATCCGTTAGAATAAAAGCAACAACCCTACAGTGCTTCAATGTAATTTATTTATAAAGAGCATAAAATTGGATTGAGAAGATAATATGAAAATATGATCATCACAGGAGGACTGATGTTTCAACATATTTGACATAATTGCAGGTTTAAAGCTGTTGTTGTTGTTAAGTGACTTGATTGTGTTTATTGACTTTTTCCTCCTCTTATAGAGAGGTGTTTTAACCTGGATTAGCCGTGTGCTAATAGAGACTTTACTTCTGCTCTTGTTGCGTGCAGCTCCTGGTTCAGTGACAGTCCTCGTCCTTCTCATTCTGATTTCTCCTTTATTGCACATATCCTGCTCTCTTCTTCTAACTTGTGTCTATTTCCTCAGGCGGACCTTTTCTTGCCCCTGTCCTTGGGCACTTCATATTTCCATGGGAAATGGAGAGGCCATATGTGACAATAGGAGTTGTATCCACAGGCTGTCTTCAATATTTAATCAGGAGTGCATTTGTTTGAAGGGGGCTCTGAAATGTTATTATACATGAGTGACGCTGTGTGTGAAGATGTGGGACTTGCTGAAAAAGAAGTACCCTCTTCTTATTGAGCTCTGGTCTCTCTCCCCCCTCTCTTTCTTGTCTTTCACTCCCCACCTCCCCCTTTATTCCACTTCCCTTCCCCCTATAATCCATTCATTTCCCTGTGTACCATCATAAACACATTACTATGAGCTCATTCATTCAAACACGGTGCTGGATGGAGTTTGTTTGGTTTTGCTGTGTGTGCATGTATCAGTGGCTGGTCCCCAGAGACAACAGAGCAGCATATTCCATCATCCTCCAGACGTGGCACAAGAACGCCCGACTTCTTTTTTTCCCCTGTCTTCTGCTTCTTCAGCAGTTCGGGAAAAAATTAAGTGTTCTTCTTACCTCTTACTTCCGGGCAGCTGCTCATAGATGGAGTCTGGAAACAAGGTGGGCTAATTGTACTCCAGATTGATTGCTGTTGCATTGAAGTTTGAGGTCGAAGACTGTTTTTATAACTCGGTCCATCAGAACCTGAACAAAACTTACTAAGAGCAAATCACACTCCTGAACCAGACTTCAACTCTTAAAGGTGCACTGTATGTAAAACAAAGGCTCAAATGTACATAGACTTCACATATGAAATTGGCAAACCAAATCTTAAACACAAGCTAGGTGTTTGAGGTGTTTGAATGTTTTGTGTTAGTTAACACTCCCTGAAAAAGCACTGTTTAGATGTAATAAAATATGTTAACATTTCAACACGTACAGTATAAATCACGTATGTCAAGCTCGAGGCCCGTGGGCCGAATATGTGCCGCCAGTTCAAAAAGGTTTTGACACCTAAAGTGCTACTGTACAACTTAGGTGTGTATGGAAAAATAAAAGGAAACTTTGTGCTTCAGCGTGTGTCTGAGTTAAATATTCCAGCAGGACCTAGATTGAAATAGGAGGAAGAAGATTCTCCAGTGTTAGGTGTAAATAATTCAGTTGGTCCAGGAGTACGTACAGTGTGGAGCCTATTGTGTCTGACAGCGAAGCTGTTGGTATAATCTGTTTTCCTGGAAGGGGCCAATTATCCCAGATTACGAGTGCTATCGCAGAAGCAGGCACATCATTTGACTTACACCAGTGAACCCACTGCTTTCCAGCTGCACCCTGCTCAGCTCTACATCATCTAAGTGAGGCTCCCAGTCTCTTGGATCTGCCGAGTTCAAATTAATTCTCTTTCATATCCTACATGGTGGAAAATTTCAATTAAAACTAATGCATATTCAACTACTTCTTATGCAGGACGAGTCTTTACTGAAGCCGGTGAAAGAAAGTGACTGTCTTTTAGTTTCGTGAATCTTTGTCTGGTTTTAGTGAAACACAGAATGGGAGGGAATAATAAAAAACAAACAAACAAACAAAGTTTTAAATTGCTGTATTTAAAAAACATACACAAGTTAATTTAGTCACTGAAATTAGGAAGAATGTCAATTTGAGTGACATTAAAAATACTGCAGCTTTTGGCTCTGGATGGACTCGTATGCACTGCCTCCCCATTGACATATATTTGGGAAGACGAAACGATCATTTACTTTGCGGCGTTTACTTCTGCACTAGATAGGGCACGTTATTTAACATGCGTAGTCGCTTCGGAGTATAAGTTGCACCAGTGCCCTCTAGCGGCTGTCAGTGTGAAAATGACTAACGTAAATTTTCAGTGGTGTTTCCAGATAATAAAGCCACATGCCAATACACATGATTAAGGTAATTATATTCAGTGCATAAAGACATGCTTGGTGAAAATGGAATTTTAATTAAACAGGAGGACACACGGATTGGCATTTTGCACACTGAGAGTCAGATAACAGGGAATAGCTGAAGCTAAAGAAAAAAAATACAGTAGATTTGAGTCCATTTTTCACTCACTCGGTTCTTGAAAGCATCATTAGTAATAACAGGCAGCGATGCGGTGGCGGCTGCATACCTCAAGAGGGGAATTAAAAGTTAGCCTTGAATAATTTATTACCTCTGTTTGATCATCCTGACAGGCCATAAATAACACAAATTGAAGTTGGGGGCCACATAGTATTAGCTGAAGTATGGCCTTGTTTGGTAAAGATGGTATAGTACACCAGGAGGAACTACTGTGTACACCATTTTCACTTTTTTTAGGTTTGTATGTGTTTGGTTATTTTTCCTGACTGTTTTAGTTGATTCACTGTGAGGCACAAACCTTGTTGTTGTAAAGGGCTACATACACAGATGTTGAATGATTGAACAAACTTAAATAAAACCAACAACATGCAGGACAGTGGTTTGTAAATCCACAGGGAAGACGAGTATGTAAAAAAACTCTAAATGAATATACATTTCTATTATAAAAGTGACACTGTTTGTTAAAGATGACTGTACTTTTACACTGTTGCACTCATGCATATTAGTGCTTGAAGTTGAACACAACATTTCATCCACACCCCCAACGCTTGCACACAAAGAGGATTTTCTTTGTTTACTTATGGAAATTTGAGCTAGGTGAGGTGATATACTACTCTTTCAGAGTGCCTTGCCTCTGTCTCTTTGCTCCCTTCCCCCCCAGACTCTGATCTCCTTTAAACAACATGGAACAAAAATAGATTCATAATTTCATATTTTTTCTATTTTATTACCAGTATTGACAAAAGTCAAAGAGTTATTCAGTTTCCTAAACCTCCATAAAAACAGGTCAAATGTCTATTACTCAATAACTATTGCACTTGTCTGTCATGGCATGCTAGTGTGCCACAGCCTAGTGGTTGGGAATCGGCCATCTTTGTGTTTACGGCAGGAAGATGTGCAGCTCAACCCAAGAGTGGAGCTCTGTGCTATTGCACCTTGATTAGCCGAATTACCAACACGCCAGCTTCGTGTTGGCTGCTGGCGTTTTTCTTTTACAACCTGAAGTCCATCGGGCTGTTCATGTCATATATTACATTCTAAGAAAAAATAACAACAACACAATGATGTTTCCTTTTTAAATAAAAGCAGGCTGCTGTTCCTCTGTCAGATTGGTCGGAGGATGGAAGGTGGAAGTGATGCAATGTTTTTATTATGCACCTGTGTGTGTGCGCGCGCGCAAGAGTGTCACTCACACACGCGCGCACACACACAGACACCTGGTTGGAGTCACTCGCTCGAGCTTCTGGGTGGAGCAGCGGCGGCGCGTGCTGCGGACACACAGACTCGGTGAGTGGTTAACGGCGCACGGCTGTGTTCGGCTGCAGATGCAGGTGGAGGAGTGTGAGCGCAGGGCGGGCGGAAATGGTGCACGGGCGGCGGTGAGGAGCTAGAGGACAGACGGGAGACGCAGACCGGAGCCATGGAGGACTCGGAGCCCCCAGAGGACGGCATGCTCGCGGGTTTGCGTTGGAACCGCAGCGCTCGGGACCAAGCTCAGCTCAAACATAAAATCCGGGATCTGCCGGGGCTACTGAAGCACGGGCTGCACCTGCGAAAGAAGAGCGTGAGTAATTCCAGGCGACCGCTGACTGTCCTTCCGTATTTGACGGTCGTGTTTAAATTTTTTTTTTTTTTTGGTGTTGTAGTAGAAGGTTCATTTTCCTCAGGGTGCTCTGGTGCCTTGGGGCTGTTTCGTAACACCGTCAAGACTCAGGTGTTTTTCATTAGGTTACGCTGTCGCAGAGGCGGTGTGTGTTTGTGCGTGCGTGTGCGTGCGTGTTTGTGTCCTACATCCATTTTTACCAGCACTGCTGTTAGACACCATACCTTCACACTCCAGTAGTCAAGGCAACCCCTCTGCTCACACACGCACACGCACACACAGGTTCATGCATGTCAGGACATTCATTTTCATTCATTCATTCATTCATGTCTCCATCTCATCTCCAAGCTTCTCCCTGACCATTTAAACCGTATTTGAACCCCAAACCGAATTATTGTTTGCATTTTCATCCAAGCGTTAAATTATCCTGTGTGTTAGGACCAAGTTTTAATCACTGTGTTGAGAATTACTTATCCCCAAAACCAACCAAAATGGTGTGACCACGGTGTTTGCCAGTTTGCATGTTTCCCCATGTGTCTTATATGTCACAGCTCTGAATGTCAAAATTGTCAAACACGTGAGGATAAACCCAAAAATACAACTTGGTAAACACTTCTGTTCTTGAAATCAGAGGTCATAGTTTTCAGTGTTCATCAGGTCAACGACCCCAAACTGATGGAGAGGTGGAGACGGGGACCCCCGACGATGCGGTGTAAAATTGTTTTATATTAAACTGGGCCCAGTGCCGGGTTCATCTCTAATACTGAGCAGCTGGTGAGATCTCCTGTGGATGCTGAGTATGTGCATTTCTCACTTTTATACAGCATCCATTTATACAAATTTGCTACAGTATGTTGGATTCAGGATAACTTGAGGACGAGTTTGTTTGCGACAAAATCTGCAAATGAATGCATGAATTTAACAATCTCCCTGCAGTACCTCTATGTAGCCCCTAGGGTCTGGGAAACAAAACATATATCATTAGTTTATAAGCAGTAGTTTAGAGTGTTAATTCTCATATGCTGAGAGAAACAGAAGCAGAGAGAGGAAACCACTTGTCTCTTTTGGGAACTAATCATTTGGCTTGATACAGATGGATGACACAAAGTTAAATGGATTGAAGTCTTCTGTTTCTCGTTAATTATCTGACTCTTTACACTTTACATTTGCCAAAGAAGCAAAGCTCTGTGGCAACAGTCCAGTTCCTTATCATTGGTCAGATTTCACTCGGTGAAATGATCGGCCCACTAGGCAGCAAATGCGTGCGTCTCGCTGTGCCATGATGTGGAATAAACACACCTGACAAGCCAAATGGCTGCTCAGAGTGTCAGCTCCACTCATCTTCATCACTGGAGGCAGCCAGAAATGGGACTAAAGCTCCGGTTCCCTCTGTGGGACTCGCACACAGATTGCCAGGACTTCCAGTCCCTCTGCTGCCAATGGTGCTAAAAATATGCAGTGATCGTGGTGCAGAGCCTCTTTGGACCAAACACTGGGCTCGTGTTGTGCCGTGTAATTGTAAGCCAAGGGTAATGTCTTACAGGTTAAAGTCACACTGTTCCAGGGTTGGGGTTTTGGGGTTGTTGTTAAGATTTCCTTTTATCACATGCATCAGAGACAGTTATGTTTTGATGATGTGGAAGGACTCACTGCTCTGGTACGTTTCCATTCATGCATTTAGCAGATGCTTTTATCCAAAGAGACTTACATGAGGAGGATTAAGTATATGGTTCCACTGGGGCTCGAACCCAGGACCTTCTGCGTGTAAGTGCGATGAGCCGTATGTAAGTACGGGCTGTTCTGTGCAGACTGGTTTCCCCTGGATATTGGCAGTCGTCTCTGCTTCACCTTCTACGTGAACCCCATGTTTTCAGTTTTCAACTCAAACGTCACGCCACTTCTTGAGCCTGAAATTTCCCCCTAATAATTTCCAACTCTTGACCTCAGCGGTGGTTTTGTAGCTCCACAATAACCTGACAGAGTTAGTTGAATGCACGGAGTCCTTCGGTGGCCTTCTGCAGCCTCACCTCGGAGAGGACTGTCTTTCCTTTTCTCTGTTGTGACTTGTTCTGGCATTTGATCATCAGTAATTCCTCGACTATAGAGTGACACAAAGTCACCCGACATTACAACACTCTCATTGGTGACATGTAAATCTGCACAAATGCAAATTGGACTTTAGCAAAAGCCTGCGTGGCTTTTGTTACGTTGTCAAGAGTCAGTTGCTGCTCATTCATGTAGATTTCTGTCTTTTATTTTATCGCAATATATATAAAACATATGCATTTAATCCTCTCTGAGTCAGCAGGACAGGTCACCTGTACTAACGTGCACAGTGTGATTCTGGAAGGATTCCTCAAGTCGCTCGCTGTCGCTGTTGAACACACGGCTGGCACAAATTCAAACCTAATGCAACATTATGTAATTCTCCCGACTCATTAGAGATTTACCAGCACAGCGACTTCAAATATTGATGGTTTACTTTCAGAATGTGCATTGTCAAAGACGTTGATTTATTATTCATTATTTATTCTCCGGTTAGACATGTACAGTGATGTATAAATATAGCAAAAATCATATTAATATTGACATGGTGCTCCGTGTTTTACACGGCGTGCGCTTGTATTCGCAGTTGTGTGAATGGGTATTATTCAAATATCAAAATGTAGAAATAAAAAAATAATCAGTGACACGTCTGTTTTGCCTCTCAAACCTGTGTGATGAGCCATAAAACCAGATTAGTGGGGAGATTGTGCAACCGCGGTGCCTTTACTGTGGCAGAAAGTTGATGACAGTCCTGCGATGATCTAGTTTCTGCATCACAATATTTCAGGTCTGTAATAACTGCGTTATACATTGCAATAAAGAAGACAAAGGAGCCAGGTGAGAGATGCACTTTTATCTCTCATTAATCATCGACAATTACACACTGTCACGAGGTACCTGCATTCAGACGGCATCGGCGCAGTGTGCTGATAGAGCTTTATAACTTTGAAGTGTCGTGCTGGTTAAAAAAAGAAAGTGAGCACACAAAAATACTGTTAATATGCTAATATGAGCAAGGCAATAAGAGAGGGGAGGAGCATGCAGTGTGTGTGTGTGTGAAACCCGTCTGCTTCTTGGTGAAATATGATATTATAAAAATATGCCTTTGTTTTCTGTTGCTGTGGCGCCTGCGTCTCTGTAAAACATTGTCAGCGGTCAAGTCTGAGGTCATGTGCAGAGGCTGACAGCTTTCAAGCGTTGTTCTAGGGTTCATCCACGGAGCCATAGCACCTTTGATGTTCCCATTTCAACTTCCTTGTTTGACTGGTCTGTCAAGGAGTCAACACCAGTGTATTAATACAAGTGCCTGTGTGTGTGTGGTTGTCTTTCTCCAATGGGAAGGGTGGGAAAAGGGGGTGTTTAAACTTTATGAGGTGGTGGAGTTCAGTAGTATTTGAAAGTAATCCATTTCTCACAAGATAATAACCCCCATCTCTCTCTCTCTCTCTCTCTCTCTCTCTCCCTTTTCCCCACTGTACACACTTTGAAGCCAAAGCAGAGATAAGCGTGTCAGCGTGAGCTCTCTTCTCTTCCATTTCTCTTTTTTGGCCTCTGGTGCACCGATGGGTTCAATATGCTGAGATGTAAAAATGGAGAGATATAATCGAGTGGCAGTGAAGCTCAGACAGAGGCTCATGGCCAGCAGCAGAGATTTCTCCAGTTTTTTTTGTGTGTCTTTGTGAGTGAGAGACAGAGACAGAGAGAGAGAGACAGCAGTCTAAATGAAGCACCTCTGGTGCTGCTGCTGTGTCTGGTCTGCACTTGTGTGGAGATGTGCTGGTGAAGAAACAGAGAACCCTCCGGAGATCTGTGTTCACTCGACAGGGAGACAAAGAGATGGAGAGATAAGATACAGTGACCAAGACAAAAGCAGCGGCAGCAGACATCGCAGGAGGCACAAACAATTTATTTAGTCTGTGCGCCCGGCCGGCTAGTTTTGCTCGACTTATCCCCCAGCTGAAACACTCTGTGTCATCTCACAAAACCCCCCAAAAAAGAAGAAAAGAAAATGATTGTCTCTATGGATGAATAATGACCAAAGAAAAGGATTTGGACATCAGCTGCATATGTTTGTTATGCTAGACTTTTATGTTGCATAAAAACCAATGGAGAATGTAATGTGATTGTGCATCAGCTGTATTCAGAGTACTATCCTGTCACACCAGTTAGTGTAATGAATCATAAATATTGATTTATCCAAGTTGTACTGCAGTATAAGGTACAGACAACAAGCCCTGAACACATCACCAGTGTTTGGTTTCCTGCTGCGTTCAAGCGTCTTTATTGCCTGCTGAGTGGGCTCACACTCTAACAAATGGTCCAGTATTTTAAGGAACTAGACTTGTTTGTTTTCTGGCCCGTAGTTGGATCGATACATCTCCATTAATGTCGTAAATAAACGGAAACCGTCAGCAGCGGTTAGCATCTCAGGCCGTTCTCAATCACAGGGTAGTGCAGTCGCACTCTTAAAAACAAACAGTTGCCTTTGGGGCGTGTTTTGGTGAATTTAAAAATGGTGGGCTTTATGAATGGTGACAGTGGTGGGTTTTACTAGATTGATACAGAGCCAAGCCCCGTCCCCCTCCCCAGCCCACCTCCCTCGTCTTTAGCATCTGCTGGTTTCACATTGGTGATGACGCTGATCTCCTCTTAACTGCCGTTCTGGAAGTGAACAAGTGCACAACCCACCATGTTGAAACTGTTTCTGTAATGAGGCGTGGGAGAGAGTGTGTGTGTAGTCGCCCGCTTTGAACGAGGCTTGTGCGCCTCTCTGAAGGCTTGTGTCTACTCCTGTGTATGTGTGAGAGAGGGCGAGAGAGAGCGAGAGAGAGAGAGAGATGTTCCTAACAATACTGCTGCTCTAATGAGGATGACACTCGTTCTTTAGTACGTTCTTTAATCATTCCTCACTTTCATTTTCTTCACAACACACAGCGTTACTCATCTTCTGGCTCCGTCGTCCTCCTCCTCTCCCTCGACTTCAGACTCAGCAGTTGAAGAACCAGCTCGTATCCCTCTCCTCCTCCGATCTCATTTCATGGCCGTTTTACCTCTCGTATATTCACTTTTATGCATTGTTCAGCCTGCCGTCGGTGTTGTTCTTCTCACGTGCTAAATCATTTATATTTTCTCTCCGTCTTTATGTCCCCCAGTGGCTTTCAGACAGTAATTATGGAAGAATCTTATAAAACCACGAGGCTGCCGTTAAAAACCCTCACACATTTCAAAATAAATTGTAATTGAGTGGCCATCAAACAGTTACGATAGGATTCATTAAATCCCAATTTTCATTTCTTTATTGGAGACATGCTCCATTTCAGAGTTCGTCACAAAGAGGAGTCACTCCCTCATGAAAGCTGTACGTGTGTTTGCTCCTGACATGACTTGGTGTTGATTCATTCTACAGCTCAACAACAAGTCCATGGTGCAGTGCTGTAGTGCAGTGGTTCTCAAAGTGGGGGGTTTGGACGTGTGGCTATTGCAGCATGTTAAATTAATTGTATTTATTTATTGAATTGAAACTCTCTGTTTTATATTATAGATATAAAACCTATAGATATATAGTTTTTGGAAATTCCCAGTTATCCCTGCACTTCTTCCTCGTTGGTCTCCATGGTCTCTGTTTGTCTCTGTTCTTTGTTGTGTTTCCCCTCGTCTTGACTGCTGGTGTCTCCTTGACGGCAGCTTTCTGATTAAATCTGGATGGAAATGTTTTACTGCGCTGAACATTTGATCCCCAACATGCACCAGAGTGTCTAACATTTCACTGTTGTCTTTTCCGACCACAGCTCCGTACACAGCCGGACCTAATGATTATTCTCATTTTGAATCGTCGTTCTGTAGAAGTCAGTCAGTTGTCATCCAGCATAATAATCTATAAAGATTTAGATCTGGTGTCCTGATTACAGGAACACGCTGTTACAATATGCTGATAAGAGAAGAGATTTATCATTGTGTCATTTTTAGACTGCCAAAGTTTTCTGCTATTGTTTTAATATTGTGTAATGAGGCAGAGTTGTTGTGTTACTGTGTCATCATTATACTCTACTTTTGTACCAGATAATCGCCATAAAGCCGAGCAGCTCATAAAAGTATTAGAACAAATGTTTTCACTACGTCAGGTTTACACAGACCTGAAGTGACTAATGTTGGAGGAGTCGTACAAACTGGTATTTCCTAACCCTTGTTTGTTCACTGTGTTTACTGTGCGGCGCTGATAGCCTGTGTGTTCACTATCTCAACAGCAATCACCTGACACTATTCCTGGGCCCAGCACTGGACCTATAGTCCACAAGGTAAGAACACACACACACACACACACACACACACAGACAGACAGAGGTGATGTCACCTGTTTAGTTTTCTTTGCGGTGAACTATGTTTGTTTAGCCTTAAAACAGATGATGTCATTGGCAACATTACCTTTGACTGAGATTCACCACATGCAGGCGAACACGCTGTGAAGAGCCTAAACCTGTGAAGCATAGCAACAGAATGGGTTTGCAAATAGTTCAAATGTACAACAGCTTAGCGTGGTTAATGTGTAGATCCCTTTACTTTGAAAAACGTGGGGAAAAAACTCACTGCTGTTGATTTTTTTTTCTAAGAAATAATGTGACGTTACTTGACCTTATAAGTGTCCGTGATTCTTTTAACTGTAACAAACTGTGAAGTCCAAATAATACAAATAAAAATTGACTTTTCTTTAGCCTCTGGATCAGTTCTGACTCTGTTGGTGTGTGTTTGTCAGTCTTGCTCTCAGAGTTTTCCATGCGCAGGCCGGGCTGTGAGGAATGCCTTCCTCTCCCATGGACCATATCCAGCTAAAGACAAGATACACCTGGCCAGAATCATAAGGTACGCCTACCCCAGAGTCCCAGGCCTGAATCAATGAGTCCAGTGGAGCATGTGTGACGTAGACATTGAACAGGAGAGGACAGGGAGGTCTGGCACGACGAGCACTTTCGTACTGCACACATTTGACAGACCATGAAGATGTATGTGGAAAACCATGTCAACATCTGGACAAGAGTATAAATAGAAACACTTAACCACAAAGGCACCTGCACATAAACATGCACATAAATACCAAAGGGGTTTCACCCAGGGAGGGGAGGAGGAGAAGGGGGCGCTCATGTAGAAGACTAATGAATAATCAGCGGACATAGATCTTAAAAAGACATTCCCGGTGGTGTGGGAGGAAGCATCCATGCGTATTTGTGTGGTTTTTTTTTTTTGCAGGCGCAGCTACGTGGGTGTTGAGCTGGTGCAGTGGCTGTGCGAACAGTGTGTGTACGTGCGCTGTCGGACCACCGCTGTGCGTGTCTGGCAGGTGCTGCTGGAACTGGGAGTCCTACTGTCTGGTAACAAAAACATAAGCATTATTAAACGCTCTTTATCGCCAAAAAAGACATGAGATAAGGCAGTTCACCAGGTGAATTCATCAACGCAAGAGAGGGAGATAAATGGTCGGGCCCGTTCACCTGTTCACCTCACGCTGATTCTATTTAAAGATGATGTGACTTTACTGAGGTCATCTCTCCGTGAGGTAGTTTCACTGTAACCTGAAGTCATTAAGACCGTGTTTCTTCTGCTTCCTCCTGTAACCTCTGAAGTCATATGGCCTTAGAGTAAGTGGCTAATTATCAGGTTGGAACGTCTGACCTGTACAGCCGGGGTCTCTCTACTGCTGTCATAATGTACTGTACTGTACTGTGGCACACTAGTGTGCTGTAAGAGATCATAGGCTGTGGAAAATTATCATCAGATCAAATCACATCAAATTATCATCATATTACAATCAGAGCTGTTGAAGAAGATCTTTGTGAGTGTCTTTCTTCAATTCTTGTCAGTATATCAGTGTCAATTATGAGGTCATTTAAACTAGAAGATTATTACAGTATATTTCATTCCATTTGATTGTTGTTTGGTGGTGTGCCGTGGGGTAGGTCTTGTATTAATCAGCATTTGAAGCATTTATTTTGAACATATTTTAAGTTGACGTTTGACACCCACTTACTGCCAGGCGCTGACATCAGTCGATTGCTCTGCCATTTGACTTCAATAGTCATGGCATTAAAGGAACAGCTAGTGTCATGGCTGCTGATATCTGACACATCCTGAACAATTATTCCTCTGATCCCCAAATTTGTCACCTGTGCAAAAGTTTCCATTAGTCTTATTTCACTGCTGTTCACATTATATATTTAAGAAATTCTAAAAACTGTGGAACACACAGGGAAAGGCCCCTCCTTTCCCACAGTGTCAGTACACTCTGAAGAATCATTCTTATCTCCATCACCACCAACAACTAATGATTTCTGTCTTGGGCCATTACCCACATCGCCCGAATGTTGCTTCAAAATCTGTTCTTAGTGGTTTAAATTATACTATTCACAAGCTGAAAATGAAAAAACAATTAAAAGAAAAAAAAAGTAAATGAACCATAACTTCCCTGGTGAAAACATTCATAAAGTGGTGTAAGGCAAATGTCCTGGTAGAAGTATTAAAAACGTTAACTTGTGTGCCTGCTCTCCTTGCAGTGGACCAGCGGGTGGTGTTCTCTGACTCCAACAGCTACTACCAGTTCAGCTTTGAGGAGTGCGACTCGCCCTCCTGTGAGTTCCGCTGTAATGAAGCCGAGTGGCCAGAGGCCGTCAGGCTCCTCCTACAACTCGCGCCATACGTCCAGTTTCGCCTCGGAGATGGGGCCAACAGCCCGTAAGTGTCCATAATAGACACGTCCAAGTTTGGTGTGGACGGACGTTGGCTCTGTCAGGTGGAAGATGTTTTACAAATAGTAGGAAACAAGATAAGTTCACTATAAACAGTGTGATCACTGACGAGATGGTTGGTCGTGTGCTGAGGTGTGATGAACTTTTAGGTTTGTTCTCAACTCGACTTTAGATTTCAGTGCACGTTCAAAAATAATTGGATAATGTGAACTAAAAACAAAAACAAGTAATATCAACGTAAGTCAAGAAAAGTACATTAAAAAGTAATATGAAGGCAACAAAAAAGTTTTTCAAAAGAGTATTTATCAACAGGAAGTGGGTCAGACCGAGCAGCGCCTGATGCCTTTGAAAATGTCGGTCCTAACTGGTGCTGAGTGGAGCTCTGTACATCTGTGATGTAGGCTGATCTCCACTGACCTGAAGTAGAAGCTCATTACTGACGTGACCAACTCCAACTTAAAGTTAACGGCTGACATCATCCATTTGTCGGACAATTGCTTGGACGTAGACGCGTAAATCTACGGATGACTTCCTCTGAAAAAACTACTGCGGCGGAAGAAGTGCAGTCTCCTCCGACAAGGACATCAGTGTCCCTGCATCATTAGTACAAACGCACACACATTGATATGCTTGAAAAAATAATCCCACTGGAAAGCCCTAATCTCTCCACGTTTTAAATCCATAATCTGTTTATGTGAGGCACACTTTCACACACACACACACACCTCCAAACTGACAGAAACAGAAAACACACCTGTACAGTACAAGTTAATAAAACACGGCTCTCACGTGCACGCCCAGCGTACACCCTCACATCCACCGACCAGTAGTTTGGCGTCAGCCCTGGAGTTCTGGAGGTGCTTCACAGCGCTCCTGT